AAATATTAAATGCAAGCTATGGAGCCTTTACACAACATAGCAATCCTAATTTGATAGGTTCTGCCAACACCAAAATAAACAAAACCAATGGCATTTTTTAGGAAGAGGGGATATCTTTTATTAGACCAGGTGATATAATTGGAAACAACGGACAAGCTTTCAGGCTCACAATTTGTTCACCCACCAGGTCATAAAGAGGTCAAGAAATCCATCATCTCTGGGGTACCCGTTATTTTATTTTTGTTTTTAATTGTGTTTGTGAACTCTCTTTTCATAAATGGACACAATTTGGTTGACATGACTGCAGTATGATACAAATCACAATAAATCTGAAAGAGGCTCCCTCGACTCCTCCTAGACTGTCATTTCAGATCCAGAAAGGAAAACTTGCCTACATCTCATAACACTTACCATGTCATCACCTCAACATGAATTAAAACAGACTAAAATGAGAGGTTTAGAAACCTATGAGAAAAGGTCTAAAAACTTGCCACAGGAAACAACTACAAAAGTGTCGCTTTACACATAACCCGGTCCAGCTTTTTTTGTCAGAATGAGCTCTGTATTCTACTGGGTAAATCTAATAAAGGGCACAGATGTCTCTAGGTTAAATCCTACAGCTGCAAATTTTTAGGTGTCACTCTTGGGGGGTGCAGTCCCTAATCTGAGCAAGGCCTCTTCTCTCTATGCAGCTCGCTCTTCTAAGCAGAGCACACTGAGCCAAGAGCTGCCCAGAGCAAGCAGGTTGAACCTAACCAAGGAAGGGGCCAAATGTAGTGTCTTGTGGAGAGTGAGTCTGAGCTTCTATCTGAAGGAGGCTTTCCCACAGCCACTATTTTACACCCACAGGTAAGCTGGTCTGTTGTTTTCTGTGAGAATTAATTCCTTGAACAAAATTATAGCTGTATGAACAGCAGCAGTTGGCCACTTTCTGCTTTCCTGGAGATCAGATGATCACTGGTCACATCTAGGAAAAACAGAAGCTAACAAAAGGTCATGTCTAAACCCTGTTAGGGGATGAAGAACACTCCTTGTTTCAATGGCTTTGGACTACTGAACGGTACCCATGAATCTTCTGCTCAGACTTACTGTAATGCATCTGTGGTCAAAGAGGAGAGTACTGGTAAATGTACCAGGTGCTTTTGTGTACAGACTCACCAGGATGGCTGGGCAGGTCATGAAGACATTGTCTCCATACAATAGTTTCCATATGGTAGATGATGTGTGGAGCTAGAGAATTTCACCTTGTGTGAAACTAAACCATGTCACAGCACATCAATCAAACTCTGTTTTGAAAAGGAGTGTGAAAAGCTTGGCCTTCCGTCCTCGTGTTGTGATCCTTGCCACCATTTTCAAAAGGAGGGACTCTGCTTTCATGCTGTTCTTACCCTGGACACTTTCTGGAGCTGTGCCCAATCTAGGAATGCTTGTGGCCTACATCCCATGGGCTGTCTGTTGCTGACATGGGACTGTAGAGACCGATTTACATGTAACAATCTTACGTGTTGACTGGTTGATGTGTAGACTGGAGTATTTGTCTGTAAAGGTGGCTTAATTCCACAGGTTCCTGGACAAACAAGGATGAGGAATGAAAAAAGCAAGGCACCTCTACACAAATACAGAGGAGTAAAGGAACAGTATAAAAACATTGCCTTTGATGACTTTATTTCCATTGCAGACAGGCTACATAACATTTAAAAACACAAAAGACAGAAGAATCCTGGCATCATTTAAAGGGCTTTGAGCAAGGAACCGGGACTGGAAGGAGGTGTTCCTGGGGGTGTGTTTTTGTTTTTTTCTAAGAAATCACACAATAATGTACAACGTTTCTGGCAATGAATGAAGAAGTTAGACTTGTCTAAGTTAAATTTTTAGGTAAGAATGACACACATATATACAGAATATTACTTGTTTAAAAATCTGGATTATCTAAACAAGTATTTCCTGTTGCTAAAAGAAGCGGTGAATTTGTTCCAGCTAGGCCTTTTGAACCTTGAGGACTTCAGAGTGAGAACAATTAATATAGAACTATACTCCAGAAAACAAAGTGGGGAAAAAATATGTCATGTGAATGTTAATGTCTCAGCTGTGGAACCTGGTATGTTTTCTAGTTCTTGGGCCTGAATACACACATTAGCCATGTTGGGAACTTGGGAAATAGCTGAGTCTTTTTAACAAAATAACCCATGATGGTACCAAACACAGGATCATTCATGTAATTATATCACTATTGGATGTGTATAAAAATACCAAAATCTGTCTCTACAAGTTGAATAAAACTTAAGGAATTGCTTTTTTTGAGATTATTCTATTTCAGAAGCATGCATAAAATCAACACAGTCTTGTGAAATCCCTGTCTGCTCCATTTATTCTGATTTGAACTTTTGCTTTTTTTTTTTTTTCTCCTTTGTTTATAATGCCCTTTTGTAAGTACAAAAATATTTTTCTTCCCCCTACTAATTTTGACTTTTTCCATTTAGGAATCATTGGTTCACCCTCATTTTTTGTACAGCTGCCATTCCAATTCTGTTAAATAACTTCTTGTGCCACAATATCTTTGTTTGTTCCACAGCACCATTGATTGATGTCGACACAGCCGTGGTAAGAGAGTATTCGATTAGTTAATTTCTGGCAAAGAAACAGGAGAAAGAGCACAAATGTATGCATTTTCATATGTGGCACATAGCATTGTTTAATTTTTTTTTTCTTTTGTGATATAGAGGTAGATTTATAATAAACTAAACTGTTTAGGAATGCAGCTGGCTCAGGGGATTGCTGATGTCCCATGTGATCTTTTTCCAGTAGATTTTTGGTTCTAATTTGATCCAGATTATCTAAAGACTTTTTGTGGCATATGCAAAATCACTTGATTGTCACAGTCCTGTTCCTAGTCGGCTCCAGTCCACACCACAGAAAGTACAATCCTAAACATCACAGCTGGCACTGTTTGTGGAAAAGACAAGGATTCACTGTCTAATTTTTCTCTCACTAAAGAGAGAGGTAAATTTTATTTTAAATTTCAATGGAGCACAAGCAAGAAATAATTTTGCATTAATGCTTTCCTTTACTCCTCAAAGATGGTCCCTTTCAAGGACACCACGAAGAAGAGTCAACTGTTGCTGGCACCAACATATTTTCAAGAAGGACTGCAGACTCTTGTCTGGTAACTGTGGCATCTTTTGAGCAAACAGTCTTACTATTCATGTTCAAAAGACAACTGGAGCAGGTGCCAGGAACCCCAGGGACTGGGTGGATTGGGGAGGAAATAACTGCTATTATCTCTGTATTGTATGCCTCTGTTTTCAGAAGGTTTATTTGCTTTAATGCATTTGGATGCACAGGGTTGACTCAGGTCCAAAACTGCATTCAGCCTTATAATCCATTCAGAAACTGGAGTGATAGGAAGCATCTCTGTGCACTGACTTAACAGAGCTGATTATCTCTGCCCTCCTTCCACGGCTTTTTCTCCAACGTGTCTTCTATCCTTTTTTTATCCCTTATTTGCAGAGTCTGGAACTGTCCTTTATACAGAACAATAAGGAGTTGGCTGTATATTCCACAGTAATGATGTCAAAGAATAATAACAATTAGTACTTCATTTAGCATCTTAACTATAGCACAAAGACGCCTAGCCAGCAGTATCTCAGGCACATGGGGAAACTGGTCACACAGAAAAGAATTTAACGACCTGCCCAGCCATGAAGTAAACTATTGAAAACAATGATCAAGATTTTTTTTATTTGCAGACCTAGGTCCCTTCATCAAAATATTCTGTCTCACCAAGACTGGTGTTTATAGGAAAAGTCTTCATATATAATTTAGAATTACAGTAGCCATGAAACCTGTGATGCTTTTATTCCAATTAATTTCGTATCCTCTTCTTCTGACATTGTGTAATACAAAGGCAAGTTACTTGGACAGCTCTCCCTGCCATTTCTTTCCTGGTCTCACCGAAGGACTGCATGAGCTCGCCTGAGGAACAGCAGTACCCTTGTGGACCTGGGCATTTCCTTAGATGCCACAATCAGGTTATAGATATATCTTGTCATTCTTTCTGCATGACATGATTAACATTTGGCTTTTTGTGTTTGTCCACATGGAAAAAACTCTTGGACGGACATTCTTCATTTCAGTCTGACCTACTGTAACAAACTTTTCTTCAGTCTGAGGAATGTAGTCCAAGTTGCATCTATGTAGACTGCTGTTGCTAAGACCATTCTCCCAGCTTGTAGCTGCGGCCATGTGAGTTCTCTCTCTGCAGTATTCTACTGACACTTTCCTCTCCTTTAATCCCACCAAAGGAAAAGCAACTTTTCTTCAGTATTAAGGGCCCGTCTCCTTAGTCATTTGATGTCAGGATCTGCTGGCTTTGGCAAAGGAGTGAAAGGCTTCAGTTAATACCCGGCTGCACAGGAGGGGCTTCAGTTTTTTCAAGGCAGGAATTTATAGCATTTAGTGTAATCCCACAGTGACTCCTCAGGAATAAACCCGATAACAATACCACATGCAGGTGGCGATTAGGTGGAAACCACGGGCAAATCACCCATGTGCCTCATTTCCAAGACAGGTACGGAACCAGGCTAAGGAGTACCTACAGAGCACTGCATATTGCTTAGTTTGTTTCTAGGCTTGGCCAACCGTCCTTCGCAAGCGCTACAAACACTATGATTTCATGCGTTCCGGTACGACGGCTGCCTGGGTTCGCTGGCTGCCCTGCGGCGCGGCCCGGCCCGGCCCGGCGGGGCCCCCTCAGCCACCGCCCACCCCCGCCAGAGCGTAGTGCGCGCGCGGCCGCGCTTGAGCCGCGCCGCTCGCCGTACCCGCGCCGCCGCCCGCCGCGCATGCGGGGTAGCGGGGCAGCAGAGGCTGCCCGGCCGGCGGGGCGGAAGGACGTTGGTTGGGCCCGCGCTGAGGTGAGGCCGCGCTCGCGCTCCCTCCCCCTCCCGCCGTGTCCCCTCATCCCTCCCCTCACGCCAACGGCCGCCGCTCCGCCCAGCTTCGCCGCGGCCGCCGCCGCCCCGCTCCGCAGCCCGTGACCTCTGCGCGTCCCTGAGGCGGGAGGGGACGGGCCCTGCGGCAGCGGCCGCCCTGCTGGAGGGCAGCGAGGAGCCGCCGCCAGCGTGTGGGACACACACACACACCGGTGAGGGGCTTGCCTCAGGCCGCGGCCCTTTCTCCGGTAACGGGGAACCTGGCTGCGGTGGTTCCTCTTAAACGTGAGAGGAGAGTGAGCGTGCGCGGCTGTGGGCAGCCCCAGGCCCTTGCGGGAACAGCTGGGCCGCCTCCTACTCAGCGCTCCCGCTCCGTTTAGACAGGCCTGCCCTTTTCAGGCCTTGTAGGTTATTAGTAAAATCTTAACGAACAGGAAAAACAAACAAACAAGCAAAAAAACCCCTTTCAGTGCAGTAGGGTTTGTGGTTAATTTTTAAAAAACGAACCACAGGTTGGTTCGAGTCCTGTTGCTTTTCCTTAGAAATTAATAAAATCTGATCAATGTTCTGAATGTCCTCTGATGTAAACAGCAGGTGTGAAATGGTAGACCTTGCAGGGAGTGGAGGATTTAGTGTGAACAGTGAAGGCCAGCCTTGATTCCATGGGTACCATATATAAAGAGTATAAGAATTTATTTAGATTCATAAATAGCTTGACCTTGAATCTTGTCCCTTAAATATTCTCATTGAAAAGTCAAATAGAGAGGAGCACTGTTGTTTATGTTGTGAAAATGATTATTACACAATACAAAAAGCGCAATCTTTCTAAAGTAGAGCTACAGAAAATTATTTAAGTAAGGCTTCTTGTCCCACAATTGTCTTCTTTTTTTCTTTCTGTCTTTTTATTTATTTATTTTTAGGAAATATAATCGCCATGTCATCTGCGCTATTGCCTAAGCCGCAAATGCGGCGCCTTTTGGCCAGGCGGATGAAGTTTCACTTATTTGGGGCATTTTTTGTGTCTGTGGGATGTGCAGCTTTATACAAGGTGAGCTCTCTAGTCATTCAGTTATAAACTGAACTCATTAGACTGTTTTCAGAAGTCATAATATTTTTTTGTTGAGATTTGTTTGAGCTATTCATCAGAAAGCTTTAGTAATGTATTTTTGTAAGCATGTTTCCAGAACATAAATAAATCTTCCTAATCTTCATTTGAAGAAATGATATGAATAACCTGATGCTTTAAGCTGTATAATCAAGATCACGCAATTTGTGACAACTTAACCTTGAGTCTTCTAGTCCTAGACTACTCTTGATCATTTGCACGATTGACACACATTAACTATAGATAGTCTGTGTCTCTGTCATGGTATCTGAGACTCAAGAGAGTTGTCAAAGTCTTATTTTATCTCTAGACTGACTTCAGAAAACTTACTCATAAGCCATTTGGAAACCCCATCCTTCACACTGAAGATATCAGTGTGGGGAAGGCTAGTATGGTGCTTTTTTTCTTTTTTTTTAATGTGTCACGTGGAAATAGAGCATTACATTTCCAAAAAACGCACAGATTGGAGTTTGTTTTCTGTGGTCATTAAGAGACTTCTGACAAAGATAAGAGTGGTAGTTGTTCTTGAGTGCCTTTAGTAAATAATTACCATATCATACACAAAGCAAGCACCGCAGTCTGCATCACTGTGGAAGAAATGGACCTTGGTTTGCCTGTTGAACTAATTCATATACTGTTTGCAGCATTTGAGTATTTGGGAAGCTGTTGATAAAAGGGACTAGAAATTAAGTTAATTTCAGGTTCTTAGTGACAAAGGTATCATAGTCGACAAACTACGCAGGTCAACAGATATCTGTTGGAAACAATAAGCTTTCACGGTTAAAGCTCAGCATCTACTTAACACATCTTCCAAGAGGTAGGAAAGTTTGTTTATAGTCAGACTTAAAATGTATTTTTCTCAATAGTCTGTAGTTTTATACGTTATCTGTCACCCCCACATTAATACACTCGTAAGGCAGCAGACCGTATTTAGAACAAGTGGATCTCAGTAGTGATTTACTTCACTACAGGTTAGATACTGTTGGACAAACCCACCTTGGACCTCCCTTCACATTTTGGGGGGCTTTTTGAGCATGTCCCCTGCTTCAGATGAATGAGTGTCCAAGGAGTCTGGATTGTGTCTTTTTATGTGGGTGAGCTGTAAGAGTGGCTTGACAGTCTTGTAATATTTTACCAGACTTCTGTAGTTGACCTACAGTGTAGCTCAAATGTAATACATTGTTTTAGGATGCCGTTTTATCTGGAGTTAGAGTTTTGCAGCTGCCCACAGGCACCAAACTTGCCATAATGGCATTTTTTACATTTAAAACTGTTAGCGGGGATGGCATTGGACACTTAAGTGTTAATATAGGTGGAGTGTTTCTGGATGGTAAAAATGTAATGTGATATCTTGTAACGGACTTTCCTTTTAAGGTTTCACTTCAGACATTTGTTTTCCTGGCCAGTGGTCAGGTAGCCTGAACTGTGGATTTTAACAGGAACAAAGCAATATTTTACTAATTTGAGCTAATGGCTTTTTAGACTGATATCCACTGATACAAATCATAGCACTAATAGGAAAAAAATTCTGTTCTTAAATCTTTGCAAGCTTTAATTTTCTGTGTGTTACTTTCCAGTTTGGAATTGCTGATCCCAGAAAGCGAGCTTATGCAGAGTTCTATAAAAACTATGATCCCATGAAAGACTTTGAAGCCATGAGAGCAGCTGGTGTGTTTGAGTCTGCACCACCCAAATGATGGTAACCTGCATTTACAGGTAATAAAGTACTCTGCATTAGAACAAGAGTAAGTTAGATTGTTTCAGTGAAACACTGTGCTTCTATTTGGAGGTTGTTCCTTTTTGATCAAATAAAAAGGTGCTCCCAAAGAAGAAGGATACAAATTGCACCTGAGAGACCACCAGGTAGTAAAAACATGAAGAAATAGAGAACTGGGAAGCAGAGAGTAAGGGCAGAGTAGAATGCTCTTGAATACCTTTTGGGTAATTTGTTTAACTTGTGTGATATAAAGACTTGCACAGAGCGATGCCAGGCCTTTCCCTCATGCAGCCCTGGAGAGGAGACAAAGCTTTTGTATTAATCTGTAAGACTTGCCTGATATCATTGTTATGTTGATGCTGTCACATCTTGAACTGCTTCGCTTCGGGCTATCTACTTACCTACTTGTGGTGGTACAGTGAATGAGAAAAGGGAGAGGCTGTTTCTCTCTCTTAGCATACATCTTGACATAAGAAACAGGGACAGCTTCCGTACGTCCTTTTGTCTATTGAAGTTGGTGAGAGGGGGAAGATAACTAGTCATGAGGGGAAATATATTTAAATGCATACATATGTATATATATAAAACCGCAGTGGCATACAGCTCTCTGTACTAATATTTAGATTTTTGCCATACTGAATTAAGCTTGAATAGAACTTTGTTCATGAAACTATTTTCCTAGCACTTAACACTGCCTTTTGTTTGAAGACTACCAAACTTTGTTCTCCTTTACTTCTTGTCATAACACCAGGGAAAAAAAAGTCATGATTTCAACCTTGTCGTAGTTACTAGTAAGCATAGTTACTAAACTGCACAAGCTCATGACGTGACAACTCAATAAAGAATTCCTCCCCCTTTCTTGATCCAAATTTCTTACATTGAGATCTCTGCTTCTCTTAAAATGATTCCAAACTAATCTGGAATGATAGCTTTTTCATTCTTTTGGAATGTTTTCATATTGTGATCATTATGTGATAATCTGTGTCTCTAATTATTTGGGCCAGCTGGATTTTCTCAGCCTCTTTGCTTAAAGCAGCAAGATTGAATAAAAGATTTGTACTTAACGCTATTAATACTAAATTCTGTTGTGTGACAATCTACAACTATCTTGTTTCTGCATAACACAAAGACATAAAAAAAGCAGAGCTCCAGCTCTTCTAACAAATTTAAAAAGAAAAGACTGTGGCAGTCCCTTTGGTGTTTGGGGTGTTTGTTTGTTGGTTTTTTTTTTTTTTGGTGAGAGGGGGAAACTGATGTTCTTTAGCTATGACTGCAACAAAGATAAATAATGAACTGATACATTTACATGGTTTTAATCTTGGTAACTCTGCCTTTGGTTCAGTTGTATTGCTAATATATAGACACTTTTAAACTTTCTTAGACACTGGAATTGCATTCTTTAGTCAGGTGGCCTTCATCAGAGTATTCTGAAAGGCCATCTGGTGCTAAAATCATTTGAAACAAACACTGTCAACAAGGATGCATGTTGAATATTTAATTGAAATCATGAGCAGGATTTTTTTTCAGTGCAAATAGCGCTCCACTCTGTTAGCTTATGCTCCCATTTGCAGCTTAAAAAAAACCCCCAAAGTTGCACATTGTGTGCACCTGTTAAAATGAAATGTTTCCTAAACATTTCTTCCATTCCTTAATTACATCAGCTCAAAAGAAAATGTGAAAGACAAATCTTTATATGTAATTTTGTTTGAATTGCTGATGTTTCTTACTCCTTAGTCTATTTATATACGAACTGCTATTTTTCACTCTTTCGTAGTAGAAGGAGGTCTGGTTTTTTTGGTGCCTGCACATGAATACCTAAACAGAAGGGGAAAACAATGACAGTGTTTCAGATGTTCTGGAAAGTCTGTGAAAAGAACAAGTACACAGAACAGATGGAAGACATTTTCATTTTCTTCAGTAGCTTAAATCTTAGCTATGGAAGTGGGATGGAGATTGAATTTGATGCTGTCTTTGGTATAGTTACCTACAGGGTACATGCATGCTTTACACCTCCCATTTTACTGCACTGTATTCTGTATGTGGCAGTAAATACAGTGGTTTAACCTTGTTGAGTGCTCAGTCTGCAATCAGTGTTTAGCCCCAAAATTGAGGATAGGGTGGGGTAGGCAGGGAGGAGAATTCATGAGTTAAGGTGTTAGCTTGGCACTCTGCCCCAAGTTTGTTCCTGCTGGGCATGCAGGCAGCTTGGCACCTAGGTGTGAATTTACAGTTTCGTCTACTTGGCATGGACTTCGTGTGGTGATACAGATAATGGAAACGAAGTGCAAGTATACATTTGAGGAGTATCCTACCTCTGCAGTGTGCTCAGTAGTAGAATAAAGGGGCAAGCTAAGAGATCAGCGTTAATCACTTGCATGACTCTTGTCATGGAGCACAGCTGGTCTTGGATTGTGTTCAGTATGATGGGGAGAAGCAATTTAAATTTGGTTTTCTTCCTTCCTTGGTAGGTTGCCTACACCACTTGTTTCCTCTCTGGCTCCTATCTGAAAGCTGCATTCCTTTCTCTTTCAGGCCCTTAGCAAGATTGATTCAGTTATCAGTGCATTGTGTATAGTGAATCTGACGTGCTGTGCAGGATTGTTCCAGCTCTTGATTTGTTCCATGTTTCACTTCTGTTTGCCACATGAAGGGTGTGTGAATCTTAAACCATCAGGAAATAACAGGGGGAATTCCTCTAGACTAAACCACCACATAAACATTTCTCTCTATTGCTTTGCATTCATACATACTAATATGTTTACTTAGAGCGTGATGTTTGTCCAACATAATTTTTTTTTTTATCTTGCAGATCCCCTTCGGTCTAAGGAGACTTGGTGACCGAACCTGTTTGTTCACTGAATTGTAAAGTGTAATGCACTTCAGTGCATGGCATGCTCTAATGTAACTCAATAAATAAAATACATGTCAGTGGCGCTTAATTGTCTTCATTAATGTTGAAATGCTTAAATGCTCAGATGCTGGGAATAGTGGTGGAAAGTCTTCATAAATTGCTCAAGATGACTTAAGTCTAGTTTTCTTTCCCCCAGGAATTATTTGCATCTCTGTTTTGGCCAGATTCCACATTTGATAACGAAGTATATCCCTAAGCAGTTACAGCGAGGTTCTCCCGGCTGCTGGTGGGAATATGCAAGAGGATAGTTGTTACAGGAAGGGAGAGGCTGGATCTCTGGAAGGATCTGCATTACTTCTGGCTTCAGAAGGTGAACTGACTTTGATATGAAAGAATTTGTAGAGGAATTCTGCAAATATACTAGCTGACCTTCCTATATTTTTCTGCTGCCATCACTGCATTGCTTTCCTTACAGCAGCAGACTTGTATCAAGACTTATAAACTGTGCAAATGCCCACTCTTATACATGGTATGTTACTCTTAATTGGAAAATGCCTCTGAACTACAGGTATGTTCATGTGTATTTGATATACAGAGGGAAAGAGGGTAAAAAGCAGACAAAATAAGAACTACTTATTTTAGGATATTGTGGTAATGAAAATCTTTGCATGCTGTTTCTAGACACATACACCTTTTTAATATCTGGAAGTAGTCAGCTAAACATAGTTTTGATCTCTGCTACATTCTGTGTGGTCTGAGACCTGATGCTCTACCTTCTGCCACGCTACCCATCGTTTGGAATGTACTTTGTGCGTTGCCTGTTGCTGAGGCTGAAGATGGTGCTAGGACTGTAGCTCTTGATTGCTGAATGTGGGTCCTAGGAGAGGGGTCAAAGCTGATTGTGTGACAGGAGGGATGACTTTGTGTGAAGAAGTATGACAAATGAGGCCATCTGGGTCGTATTTGAAGGCCTTCAGTTCAAATCCTCTTTGGGGTAACTCATTATCTTAAATTGATCATTAACTGCTTAACACTTAATAGGTATCTGCGAGCAACATTTGGACTAATGAGAACACATAAGTAATGTATTTGTTCCAGAACACTGTTACGGAGCAATATGGGATTTTCTTTAAACTTTCCATGCAGGCTGTGCTTCCTTTAAGTAAAGAAAGGATATGACATTTAGTGGTGCAGGGGAAACCATCTAGTAATCAAAATACCCCTGCTCCTATAAATGTAAACCAAAGCTTAACAATAGCAAATGATACCCATTTATCTTCCCAATGTACAGTATAAACATTGTATGCCATTAAGTACTGACTAACATTCTCTCAGGCATGGCTGCAGGTTTAAAGAGCCAGGTGTCTTTAGTCATACTGACAGCTTCAGAGGCAAAGAAACCCGCTACTGCCAGGTGTGCAGGCTAATAGACCTAACTGCCCTTGCAGCTCTAGCCCCTATATTCTTCCCAGTTGCTATGAATTAATTTACTTTTAAATTCTAAGTTTCTTCTGACCTGTTACAGCCAACAGCAGTTATTGCAGCCTGTGTTCCTTCAGTTACCAGTGTGTGCCGATTTAAACAAATGGGTCTTGTGACTGAAGATGATGATGATAGCTTTTTGGCCATACAGCAGAGCTCAAATGTATTCAAGCACAACAATGAAAGGTGAGCGCTGACTTCTGTGTCTGTGCTTTTAGAGTGTGCAGGTTGTAAGTGTTGCTTTCTGTATAATGATACTGTGGTTTCATAGTGGCTGCAAAGCAAGTACGTCCTTTCAGCAGGCACTGCCAACCAACCCTTAGCTCACTTTCCTCTGGAGCAGGGAGGGAGGGCAAAGTTGGGTACCTAACCTGGGAGTAGGCAGAAGAGCTAACCTTTTCTGAAAGCAGCACCAACCCATCAATTTTCCCTTTTTTTTTTTTTTTTTTTTTTCTTTTTGCCTTTTCCAGCAAGAGTTCGGCTAATCCTACCTTGCAAATGGTTGGGAGTGGGCCTCAGTATAGTACAAGAAAGACCTGTGTGACAGCCTCTAATCAGCTGCTTGTTACAGGGTCTGACATGCTGTTTCTAGGAGATGCAGAGCTGAAAAACATGCTCTGAGACCATCCCAACTGTCTGTAAAGGTTTTTGCTGTATTTATGTATGAAATAATATGTAAAAGGAAACTGATTGACTTAAAGCTACTTTGAGGAAGGTCTTGCCATGTATAAGCCTGACCATTCAAATTTTTGGCTGGCTTGCTTTATTCTTGAGTGTTTGAGGAATGATGGATTGTTCTGGAAGCAAACTAAAAAGATAGATTTGAAGTTGTGAGCTCTGCAGGTCTAAGGAGCATTATGAGAATAGGCATGTTTTAAGAGTACACATTGGAGTGCTTTAGCAGCTAAGTACAGGCAGCTGCTCTTTGGACAACTTTGTTTTCATAGTTCACACAGCTTATATGTATGAGAAGCTGATTTATATGCTGTCTCCACACATGTTTCCATACATGTGGTCAGGAGGGGGAGAAAGAACCTGCCTAACGCAGTAAAGATACTAGCTTAATTCACTGAAGATGAGTGTAATTTAAGGAAGTGTTTATTCCAGGAGAATATAATTCAGGAGAAACACAAATGTATCTTAAACAATGGCTGCACTCTACAAACTTTTAGACATTGAATTGCCGACTTCCCTCATTTTTTACAGGTGTGTTTGCATCCTCTTGGCTGGTTTGTGTACTACGTAACTAATGAACAGATTAGTCTAATTCAAATGGTGACTACAGTGCTGTTTTGATTCCATTCAGCACACATTTTTTTTTGCAAGCTAATCATTAGTTTTTACTTCCAAAGTATTGTCATGCTCTACTGCATTTCCTGGCACATGACAAAATCCAGTGACCAACTGGAGTATAACGGGGTCTATGTGAAGCTTGTATGTCTGTCTTGTCACTGTTCCACACAGTGACCTGTTCTTTTCCTTGTAAGTGAGTGACCAAAGAGCTCACAAAAACAAGTATTATAGGAATAGCTTTATTATCTTTAAACAATCTCATTATATTACAATTTATCCATCAGTATGCAAAATTAGAGGTATTAAACTATTTCCATAAAATATTCAGGAACAAAGCATGTGTGTGTATATACATATACATTTTTTAAATAGTGTTATTTAAACAATGACTAGGTTATTAAATCACTGTGTGAAATGTTGATAATGGATGGATTTATTTCACAGTCAGAAAAGGACAATACAGATCCCAGGCTTCTGTATTTTCAGTACACAAGAGACACGGCTTTTAGAAATACCCTTTAACAAAACAGAACTCATGAGAGAAACGTTGCAGTTACTACATTCTTATTTACTGTGCATTTGGTCATATCAAGTATGCAAAGATGTTATTAACTATAAAGCATATGTAACCGCTCCAAATGATGATCAGATTTTATTCCAGTTCTTGTCTGAAATTACAGTCGTGTTCAGGAATCCCCAGACAAAATTCATGTCCGTAAGTACGTAGAAAAGGGGAGAAAAGTAACACGGGTAGTTGAAAACCAAATAAGATTTTGTTTTTTAAATTAAAATCGCCATAGCCAGATGTGGCATATAAAGTAATCTAACTGTGCCCAGAGACAGTGATTTCTTGTCTACTACAAACTGTAAATCATCTGAAAAAGATGACACTTAGAAAGGTTTTTTGTCTTGATGTGTTCAGCATTGTAAGTGCATCATGATGGTATTACTGACTATTAATGTAATTGGCACCTGTAGTCCATACTGTGAGATCAATTTAAGGAAAAAAAAAAAAAATCTCACTTTGCTTAGCACAAACATATTTGAAAGGTCACGTTTCTAAATATCCCTGGTTTTATCTGTTCAAAAGTGATAAGCATAAAATAAATTAGGGCTTAAATGAGACCTGTGTAGTGGTGGCAGATCAGAAGTAAGTGAGACTCAACAAGGCTATATGTAGCACCTGCACATCTATGTTACACTGAGCTTACAGATTTTTGGTAGATTTTAAGGAGACTAAGCTCTGTTTCTTAAATTTTTGAACTGCACATTACTGTCTTCCAGACAATGCACAATGTCATATATACATTGAAAGTCCTGAAAATTTGATGGTGGATAAAATAAAGTTTCTGTATACAGACAGTTTAAAAAATAAATTAATGTTTTAATTCATGTTTTGTTCTCCAAACCACACAAAGGCACTAGTTTACATTAAGGACTAATGTCCTGCAAAACTTCAGTCAAATAAAGGAAGCTATTTTAAGGTTAAAGTGGTGCTAAAACCCAGCTGTCACTAGTAACTTAAAACAGCCACACTGGGTTTTTCAGATTTAGTGGGGGAAAATGTTTTGCCTCAGGATGTAGATGTTGGGGGGAGTTTGTGTGGGGGGGGAAAGGCTCAGCCTTGAGCAAGTTTTTACAGCTGAGTTATAAACCTGGTTTATAACAGGAACTGGCAGGCCCTAAAATATGATATAGTAGGTATTGATACACATTTTGTGTGTGTGGTGAGAATGTCTGTATGCATGCAATTTTTCCTTATTCTCTGATTTTTGGGTATTGCAAAGAAAAAGGATTTTGATTGAGCTATAGTGCAAGGCTGTTCCTTTTCACTTTATTCATCTGCTAGAACACTTCCCTTCCAGCACTAGTATTTGGCTAGGGAGCAGGAATGTTGTCAAGATTAGAAAAGCTATTGGGCTTAACTTTGTTATCATCTCCTACCTCCTCAGAAATTATGCTTCCTGATCTAGGTTACTGCAGAGAAAGCATTACTTTCAAAATGGCAAGGTATTACTACACTCACCACAAATAACTATTAATTAAATCCTTTCCTCAAGGCTTTATTTTTCACCATGGTGAATTTGCTAATGAATACTTGGGCAAAATTTGGATCAACTACATACTGATATGTTTTCATTATAGTTGGAAGGTGTTCAGCAGCCACAGTTTGCAATGCTGGCACTGTCGAGGTGCTGGGAGCGAGGTGGTAAGATGTCTTTGTGATGTACTCCACAAGGCGGTTGTACTGTTGTTCTGACAGTCTCTCTCTAGCTCCATCTGCCTGAAATCAGATAAGATA